CGAGGGACGTCCGCTCTCTCATCCTTTTGAAGCTGCCTCACCAGCACCCTAATGAAACATTGTGCTTCCACCGCGTGCTGAAAAGGAGTGGAACATTTATGTTTGGGGAGGGGGGGAGAAGGAACACAATTTGCATGACTAATTAGGATCTGCAATTTCAGATTCAATGCTAGGGTGAGAAGGCCAGCTTGTAGGGACTGGGGGGCAGGAGGAAGGGAGGGGATGGAAGACTGGCTGGAACAATTCCTTTCCACTGCAGTGAGCATCCCAGCAGCAAGACAATCAAGAACGTGCTTTGACAAACCAATTAGGCCCCATCACTGGCTGGACTCTGTAACTCTGAGCTTCAAACCTGCAAGGAAGTCTTCACTGCAAGACCTATTTAACAGTTCCATTAGTGACTCATTCTCATTTCTGTTGAAAATGGAGCCAAGACTGCCTTCACTGCCATTCTCTTGCTGGAAATCGCTTATGAGCTCCTGGATCCACTTTAGGTCCTCAGAAAGCTCCTGCCTGAGAGATTCATACTGAGCCCCAAGCTCAGCATATTTCCCAGCAACACTTCCCAGGTCGCAGCCCACCGTCTGGATGTCCTCCTGCAGGGTCTTTCTCATGGCCTCCACCTTGCGGTACTCGTACTTGAGCTGGGAAAGGCTGTAGCGAGTGTTTTCGCTCTCCTCTCTGTACCAGGCTTCCTTCTCATTATAGATGGACACCAGAGCCTCCACATCATCCTGGAGAGAGTCGTGGGTGGAGGCCAGCTTGCTGCAGCTAAGCTCAGCCTCGGCCATGTCTTCCACCACACGGGCGAAGCGCTCAAAGTTGACGTAGGTGTTGTTGCGGGGCATGCTGGAGTGGCACTTGATGGTATATTCTCTCAAGCGTTTGGTCTTCACCTGGGGGGGCTCTGTCTTCTTGTGTTCTGGGGCTTTGGCCTCTCCTTTCAACTGGTGAGCATTTGGACAGAAGAACCAGAGTATTAATTGGGCACATGCAGGGAGACTGTGGCACAAGGCAGAGCAAGGACTCGCACTCTTCAGCATTTCCTGCATGCAACAGACTCTGAGAAAGGAAGCGGGAGTGGTAAGCACTGGGAGGTCCCCAAGACCAAATGGAAAGGAATAAAGAGTGCATCTGAGGATAGGGAGGGAGAGGGCAAGCCCTGCATATTGATTTCAGGGGAGAAAAAGTCATCACGGAGAGTAAGCAGAACCCCCTCCCCCAGGCACACACAAAATGGCGCCAGTACTACCAGTGGTTCAGTTTCACATGTGGTCCCAGGACCAGTCAGTTGTTATGGTCATGCAAAGACCGGCAAACTCGATCATGAGAGGCTCACACAAGCAAGCAGCCTGTCGTTAGAAGGCAACAACCCATTGAAGGATCAGGGCAAACACAGCTCTTTCAAAGGGTATCCAATAGAAGTAAGCTCCTTGAGGGCAGGGGCTATTTTGCTTTATTTTCTCCCTGAATACCTAGTGCCTAACACCTTGTACTTAGAGATAAAGACTGGACCAGTGACTACATTAGTATAGGGAATGCCAGGGTGAGGAAACTCCTTTTACCCATACTTCCTCTGAAACTGATGTTCTTAAGAGTTCTGCCTAAGCATTAAGAGATATCAGCATCAGGATTTGAACCTAGGTGCTCCTGGTTTTGGGATAGGTTCTTTATCCACTACAATACCTCATGTCTCAGACTTGTGTTAGCAGTCATTTAATAAAAGTTGATTGGATTGAATTGAATCATAAAATGAAGAGTCAGATTCGGGTTGGATCAGAAAGAGTAGCTATGGGGGACTCTTGGTGGCACCTTGTATAGGCACATCCACATAACAAAAACAAAGCAGCTTGCTGGATGGGAAAGGTAACTACCTAAAAAATTCCCTGCACATTTGCCCTGCTCTGGAATGCTCTATTTCTCTTTAACTTTTCAAAATCCTACCTCTATCTTTTAAGGACCAGCCCCAAAACTACCTCTGCCATGAAACTTTCCCTAACTATTCTAGCTCCCACAAACTTCCCACTTTCTGTCTTTTGTTACCCATTTGGCACATACACTGACTTGTATTATTGCTGACTGGTCTTACTCCAAGGGTAGCTAGGTGGCACAGTGGATAGAGTGCCAGGAGTGAAGTCAGGATGACTTATTTTTCTGTGTTCAAATCTAGCCTCAGACACTTACTAGCTGTGTGGTCCTGGGTAAGTCACTTAAACCTGTTTACCTCAGTTTCCTCATCAGTACAATGAGCTGGAGAAGGAAACGGCAAACCACTCTAATATTTTCCCCCCAAAAAAACCCCAAATGAGGTCACAAAGAACTGGACATGACTGAAACAACTCAACAACAACAATAATAACAACAATAGTTTTACTCCAATGTTTCAGTGAGGTTTGGAGGTGATCCTGGAGAACTTTAGGATATGCCAGTAAGGTACAAGCCTTGACAGAGCTTTCGAAGATGAAGAGATTTCAGACATGGGTCAGTGCAAGCTAAAAACCAGCTAAGCTGAATATGGCCTCTGGCCATAGTGAGGTCTAGCCTCTGGGTGATATTTTTTTTTTCTGGCTTCAGTGAAAGATCATCCAGTCTACTAAGCCTGAATCAGATTAAAATGTAATTGGAAAATATTTAACAAAATAAGTAAAAATATAATACAACATAGATAAGGTTAATATGTAGTTTTCAAAGTCAATGTGTACTTCTAGGAACCCTTACGCATTATTTTAGTGGCCCCTGCTTCTATCTGAAAGGGGTACCCACAAAAATAAAATTATAGAGCCGTGAAATATTGAAGAAATCTTACACTTTTATGTGCATGTCTTTTCCTCCCATGAAGAAGGAACAATATCTTAACCTCTCCCCCTATGCAAGTCAGACTAGGTTTTCCTTAAAAGGTATTATGACCTTCCTTAAGACTTGGTTGTCCTAGGGAACTAAGATGGTTGACATAATTTCCCCATTGCCTGGGTACAAAATGAGCAATTCAGTTAAGGGAGCTTTACTAAGCTGAAGCAACTCCAGGCTTCTTTGATCCTCTCCTTGTCGAATATTCTTCTCTTGCTATGTAGCTAAGTAAAATCTCTTTTTTTTTTTAACTGTTGAATCATCTATGCTGGGTCTCATTTTGTATCAATATAAAACCTAAACTCCCAGGGGATCGGCCTGAGTCAGGCCCAGCCCAGAGCACCCTACCATTACATAGCAAGCTACTTGAAGATACAAACTATACCTTATATTTCTTTATATCCTTCACAATTCCTATTATATTTATATAGAACTTTACAGGTTACAAAGTGCTTTTCCTACAATAGCCCTGTGAGACAGGTAATACAAATATTATTTTCAAGATGAGAAAAGTGAAATTCAGAGCTAAAGAAAATTCGCAGGACCTCATAGCTAGAAAGAGTCAGAACTAGGTCTGGAATGCAAACCATGTGACTCCAAGATTGCTTCTCTTTCCTTCACTGTGTCCTCTCTATCCTCCCCTCCTGCAATGGTTTGCCATTTCCTTCTCTAGCTCATTTTACAGATGAGGAAACTAAGACAAACAGGGTGAAGTGACTTGCCCAGGGTCACACAGCTGGTAAGTGTCTGAGACTAGATTTGAACTCAGGTCCTCCTGACTCCAGGGCTGGTCCTCTATACATTATCTTTCCCTCCAGCACCTAAGCTTTAAGGGACAGCTCTCACAGGAAGGACATAATGAAGGAGGAAGACAGGATGTACCCTGGAAATTCACAGGGTGTGTCACCACCCTGGGGCTCAGAGAACCTTAGAAACAATTTTGATTCGACCTGCCATCTTGAGTACTGAGATGCCCTTACTCTCGGCCATATTTTCATTCTGCTGTAGACCATGAGCATAAACCTAGATGACTTCTAGGGATCCAAGTATGTGGCTGGGAAGGCTTTAGTAATGGAAAGTAAGTACCCCTTACTAGAATGTCCTTTAGGACTTTACCATGGTTGCTAGATGCCAGCATAATCATTAATTACAGAATCATAGAATGTTATAGCTACAAGGGGACTTGGAAACCATCTCATTTTACAGGCGAGGAAAATGAATTCTACAGAGGTGCGTGACTTGCTTTTGAGCACACACTTAATTTATGTCAAAGATAAGGACTACTTTGACACACTCTCCCAACACTCCCAACTCATTTCTCTTTCTACTCTGCTACAACGCAGTTCTTTCTGAACAAAGAGTAGCTGGGAGACCACAAAGGTAATGGATAGGAATCCCCCTCACACAAAGGGCCAGAATCTTTGGGGGCAGAATAAAAAAAAGGAAAGAGAGAAAGGAATGACAATATGCCACACCGTTTCTGCAATGACTAAGGCCTGCTGGGTTTCCTCCTTCAGTCTTCAGTCCAGAAACACTATTTCCTATAGTCTTCTTTCATCTACATTTGCAGGTACATGCTTCTCATTACCTGAAGGAGGCCAGGGCAGCCAGTTTGGGTCAGGAAGAAGAGGGGAAAGGAAAATAAGTATGCTGCAGGTTTCAGATATGTCAAACCCCTGGGATGAGGTGTGAAATGTAGATCATTTTTTAAAAATTGGAGTTGGCATTCAGATGATTATGGAACATTGACTTTTTTTACTTTAAGAAGAAAAGATGACCCTAAGCTCTTCCTGTCCATGACTCTCTATGAGGTGGCCCCAAACCAGGAGGTTCCCATTTGTTTTGCTGTTTTCCATACAAATGAGGTTCGGAACCTTCAATGAATCAGCAAAGTAGTTTAAATTAGCATCAGCTTATTGGAATAAATTATGGCAGTCTGGTTAGCTGGCATCTAACACTCACTAGGGTTGAGTACAGCGCAGGAAAGTTTGGTGCTGCGTGGTGGATCAGACAAGGAAGCAATGGATTCTAAATGGGGAAAAGAGTGTCTCTTAATCTTGGGCAATACCATGATTCTGGTAACTGAGGGAGAGGAGTTCAAGGTCACACACTGAAAAAAAGCATCACCTGCACTGGTGCACATCTGCCCTTACCGTGATCCAGGGATGAGTGAGCGCTTCCTGGATTGTGAGCCGTTTCCTGAAGAAGGGAAAAAAAAAACTTCATGAGGAAAGTAGCTGCTTACAACACACTCCCCTCCTAATGTTCACAAGAATTAAATTTTGCCTCTTTCAATTGTTGTTGTGCATTCGTTGAGTCATGCCCGACCCTTCATGACTCCATGGACCACAGCAAACCAATGCCGTCTATGGGGTTTTCTTGGCAAGGATATTGGAGTGGTTTGTCATTTCCTTCTCCTGTGGTTAAGTGACTTGCCCTGGGTCACATAGCTACTAAGTGTGTGAGGCCAGATTTGAATTCTGGTCAACTAGAGCCCTGATCATCAAAATATTGGGGAACATAATGCAGGATAAAAGCCTTTAGGGGCTCTGAGTGTGCCATGCACTCTGAGAAAAAGATCCCAGATTAAAAAAAAAAAACTCAGTTATTAATGTGTTCTTAAAATCTCCAACTTGGTCTCATAGTGGAGAAGTTTTGTTTAGTTCTCAGCCCACCATAGCTCCTATCCACACTAAATCTGGTTCTTTTTCCCAGGCTCTTCCAGAGGGCAAGAGCTTTTCCATATCCTTCTGATTTCTGTTCGATGAATAATACAATTTAGGGCTTGAAGGGAAATTAGGGATCATCTGGTCCAATAATGTTATTCTATAGATGAAAAAAACTGAGGCCTAGTGACTTGCTCTGGCACCGCTGCTGCTGCTGCTGTTTCTCTTTGCTCTAAACCAGACCTCAGGAGACTGCCTGAGAGGAGCTAAAGTGCTTGGTTTTGAATTCCCCAGGATCATACTTTTTCATCCAGAGTATCTCTCACTCAGCCTCCAAGAAGGTATTCTACCCTGATTTTCACTTCTTGTCCTGAGAACTGTCAAAAAAAAAAATCAATCTCACCATTCCTTTTGGAAAGGGAGTTCCATTAGACTACTCTGATGTTCCAGACACCATCTATGTGACTCCAGACCAAAACATCCCTTCCCGGACACCAATCCCCCACTGTGCTGCCCGACACTTATTCCATGATTTTCTAACCAGGTTAATGAAGGGGCCTGAGTCCATGTCATGTGAAAGAGGAATGGGGGAAGTTTAATCCAGGAAGAAAGAATCTGTTCGAGGAGGGACACGATGGCTGTCTTAAATATTTAATAAACTCTGGCTAACTGATTTCATTTGCAAGATCATCATATGGGGGAGCAATGAGACTTGTTCTGTTTGGGTTTCAAAGAGCAGCACCAGGAACAATGGGTAGAAGCAGAAAAGAGGCAAAAAATTTAGGCTTGATGTCAGGAAAAATTTCCTAACAATTAAGAGCTGAACAAAAGTGAAAAGGGCAGCACTGAGAAGTCATGCTTTTGGGGCAGCTAAGGTGAGCCAGTGGATAGAGCGCCAGGCCTGGAGTCAGGAAGACCTGATTTCAAATGTGACCTCAGATACTTACTGGTTGTGTTACCCTGGACAAGTCATTAAACCCCAATTGCCTCCAAGAAAAAAAAAGAAGGAGAGAGAGAAAAGTGATGCATTCCTTGACCTTGGAGGTCTTCAGATGACTACTTGTCAGTTATGTTACAGAATATAAACTCCTTGAGGGCAGGGACTGAACTGCTTTGCTAACTGTATTCCTAGTGCCTACTCTAGTGCCTCCCATACAGGAATAAGAATTGAACCTGGGATTTTATACCAATGAATAAGGAACTCCCTAGTGAGGAAAGTCTTTCTACAAATGTAAACTGGCAGGTGAGACCACTGGTTGCAGAGAACCTGCCAATTAGCATTTGCATATTTGTATAACCAAGAGGTTAACTCACATGCCCAGAATCACAGAGCCAGTATGTGTCAGTTGGCAAATCCTGAACCCAGATCTTGGCCTCTAACATAGCCAAGTGCTTAATCAGTGCTCATTCATTCATTCGTTCATTCACACAAGTAGTAAGTGCTAGAATCAGCATCTGAACGCAGGTTTTCTGGCTTCAAAGATCCAACGCTCCTTCTATTAAACACTTTCCTTACGGGATGACATTCAAATACCCACATTGGCTTTTAACGCCTTGGTCCCAACACAAGTCAAGAAAACAAAGAATAAGACTAGAAGAATGGCTAGTGAAGCCAGTATCATGTGATACAGAATGAGAAGGGACCTAGATATTATTGGGTTCCATTTCCTCACTTTACAAGTGGGAGAGCTAAGGCTTATGGAGCACAGGTGACTTGCTCAAGGTCACAAATAGGCAGTAAGTAGCAGAGCTGGGATTTGACCCCAATGTCTCTAACCCCAAATGCTCCTTCTACTACATCTGCTAGAATGCAAATTCCTGTGATAAAACGTAAGCTCCATGAGGACAGAAACTATTCACTTTTGTCGCTGTAGCCCCAGTGCCTGGAACAAACTGGGCACTTAATAAATATTTCTTGATTAATTGATCAATGCTCCCAACTCTAGGTTAGCTATAAGTTAATGTATCAGAAACTAGAGACTTTCAGGACAGCTCTATTCTCCTCTCCTTCTGTATTACTGGAAGCAGTCTCTGTGTGGTCACAGCTGCTTGTTCAGAACTACAGTCGTGTGGTGGCTACAATTTAACCCTTGAACTTGATGCCTTCACATAAGGTTTCCAGACACCAATACAGATCTAACTTTGACAGCTTGTGCTGAGTGGACAGGGAGAGACCCAAGAAAGAGACTAGGCATATACTCCTCTACAATATAACCAAGGGTGTGCTAGTAAATGTTTAACAATTGAAGGGCAGCTGGGTGGTTCAATGGATAGAGAAGCAGCTCTGGAGTCAGGAGGACCCAAGCTCAAATCTGGCATCAGACAATTACTAGCTGTGTGACCCTGGACTAGTCACTTAACCTCACTGCCTCCAATTAAAAAAAAAAAAAAAAAGGTTAACGATTGGTTCTTAGAGGAGGAAAAAGTACTCAGGGCACACTTTTAAATTTAATTGGCATTATTAACATATTCCCATCCCTTTCTTTAAGTCTAGACCATTAACAAAAACAAGAGAATGAGCCCTGATTTGCAGCTTTTGCTGATTCCAAGGTGTAAATGCTCATGCTGAAAATTTAACTCTTGAGCTAGTTTGGGCTGGCTCCAAAACACCCCTGATTACAGCTAGGCACAAACCATGAAGTTCAGCTGAGGTTGCTCTGTGTGTTACCAAGCTATGCTGGTCATGTGGCAGTTCACAGAATGATGTATCGCGCTCAACAGTTTTCCCACAGTTTAGCTCCAGGGAGGTAATGACATCTATAGAGCATTCTGCAAACCTTAAAAGGTTGACTGGTTAGATACAGATTCCCCTCTCTTTCAGTAAGGAGCTAGCTGGGGAAAGGGCACTCCAAAGACCTACTAGGCAAGGCTAAACCCCACCCCACCTCACTGAGAAATCTCCGGTCCCCTCCCTAACAAACACAGATTGAGCTTGGAGGGTTCTGAAGAATGGTGCCTCTCACTTTCTCCCATTTTGTCTGCACCTTTGCTCCAAACCCTCCACCATTCCGCCCGCCCTCCTTTCCTAAATTTGCTGATTGAAAATACAGACACTTAATCTTAAACTGTTCAAACTCCAAAAGCACCTTGAGACAGACTGCGAGATATATTCAGGACCAATGAGCGTTAGAAAAACCCAGGCTGGCTTCCAAAACCCATACACAATTATGTACATTTCAGTATGAAAAGCACAACAACAAAAAAGCCTTGAGTAAACAGGTTGAATGACAAGTCTCAGCCTTGAACATATTTTCCAACATCTGCCAAAACAGCCATAATACCCATGATGACAGCCCTTGCTCCTCAATGGGTCCCATGCAGGTGGCTTATAAATCAACACTCCTTCAGAGGTGAGGCAGAGCAGGTACAATGAAAAGGAAGGGGTTGCTGCCTGATTAAATTCTCTTAAAATCTCACCTTGTTTCTTTAACCAGGAGCTTCCGAATGAAGTCTTTGGCTAACTCGCTGGTCTGACTGAAGAATTCCTCATCAAAATCATAACTCACTGCCGTGATGTTTGCCAACGTCTCCTGCTTTGTGTCCCCAAGGAAAGGTGAAGCACCACTTAACCTAGCACCAAAAAAAAAAAAAGGAACCAAGTGACTTCAAGCCTGAAGTGTGTGAAAAGTGATGTAAATCTCTCCCTTGGAATTTTGATACTATTTTTTAGTTCTCATACATTTTCACACAAGAGATACAAGAAACCAAGTGGCCCTAACCAACCCCATTGGAAAATCAAAGTGGATGAAAAGTGCACGTTGGCCAGATTATGACATGTATTATTTATGTATACATACATATCTTTTATGTAACAGTGTTGCAGACAATGAAGTAGGCCCAGAAATGAATTGGAAGAGGAAAGAAGGCTAGACCGCGTTGAGGAAGATATAGAGCACAACTAACAGGCATAGCTAAGGCAGTTTGTTTTTCATCACCAATATTTTTGCAGTGAGGCTGTATGGCTGTGAATCACGAAATACAATGATCATTCTTTAGTCACATCCTACTCTGTGTGACCTCATTTGGGATTTTCTTGGCAAAGATGCTGGAATGATTTGCCATTTCCTTCTCCAGCTCATTTTACAGATGAGGAAACTGAGGCAAACAGAGTTAAGTGACTTGCCCAGGGTCACACAGCTAGTAAGTGTCTGAGGCACATTTGAACTCAGGTCTTTCTGACTCTAGGCCTGGCTCTCTATGCACCACCCAGCTGCCCATAAAATACAATGACAGAAGAATTAAAATTGCAGGTGACCTCAAAATGTCAATGAGAAGACACATAATGAATCTAAGCACGCTCTTGTATATTACTAACAATCATTTGCAATAAGAAAAAGCAAAAGACTGGAAAAAGAAATGGGCCACTCACATAGGAAGCCAGAGAGATAACAGATAGAGAGTCTGAAATCATTTCATTGGAATCTATGAGATAGAACTAGAGGCAACTAATGACAAGTTTGAAGCAAGCTACGGACAAGAATGGCACAAGGCGAGAAGGCATAGATGGCTTTTCATTGGCACAAATGATGTATTGTAACCACTGACGTACATACTTTTACACTGTATTGCACTTATCGGTGTATATACTTTTCCTCCCTCCAATAGATTTGTAAGCTCCCTGAGGGCAGGTATCCCACTTAGTGCTTCTGACATTTAACTCATATTTATATAATCCTTTGAAATGTATAAACCACTTTCCTAACAACAAACCTGTGAGGGAGGGGGGTAATTTTACAGATGAGGAAACCGAGGCTCAGAGATTCTCATTTAAATTAAACTAGAAATCAGAGATTCTCAATTAAACTAGAAATGAATGTAATTTTCTCTGGAAATTTGTCCCATTAGCATAAAAGCCTTCCTCCTCTCTTTCCTACCCCTCCCAGGATCACAAACTGCACAGCCTGCCCATTCCATTCAATCAATTCATAACCTTAAAAAAAATTTTTTTTTTAGGCATTGGGGTTAAGTGACTTGCCCAGGGTCACGCAGCTAGTAAATGTCAAGTGTTTGGTCTGAGGTCACATTTGAACTCAGATCCTCCTGACTTCAAGGCCTGTGCTCTATCTACTGCGCCATCTAGCTGCTCCCCAATGTATAACTCTTAATTGAACACTTACCATGTATTCAGCCCTGTGCTAGGTACCACAGGAGATATAAAGGAGCATAAAATACAGCCCCTGCCGACAAAGACCTTATATTATAGTCTATCAGAGGAGACACATGAAATGACTGAAATAATCAGAGGCATGAATGTTAATTTAAATGTGTATTATGTACAGTATATAATTTCAACAGAATCAAAGATTTAGAGGTGGAAGGATCCTTAGGGATTATACAGTTATCCCTTCCATATCACAACTTTCCCCATCGCACTTTCCATATGGAGTAGGTCGGCATAAGAAATTAAATGGGAATTTTGGGGGAGTTTTGAGGAAGCCTCAAATGACACTTGAAGGTTGGCAAACAACACAGAAAAAGTTTAGAAACTCAGAAACACATAGAATATATGTATAGTATTGTATAATATCAACATAGTTTATCTCTTAATACCATAATAATTCATAACTTCTCTGGTGCAAAGGGAGGGCCAAAAAATTTTACATGGACTTTCCAGATCACAGGGGCACTGTGCTCCTAATCCTCCATGTGGAAAGGATAACTCTATAGTTCAACACCCTCTTCTTATGGATGAGGAAACTGAAACCCAGAAAGGTTAAATGATTTGCCCCAAGTTCACACTGGCATTAAGTAACAGAGGCAGAATTTGAACCCTTGTCCTACGGGCCCGGAGTCAGGAAAATCCGAGTTCAAATCCAACCTCAGACACTCACTCGCTGTATGATCCTGGGCAAGTCACTTAACTCGGTTTGCCTCAGCTTCCTCATCTGTAAAATGAGCTGGTGAAGGAAATGGCAAACCACTCCAGCATCTTTGCCAAAAAAAACCCCAAATGGGGTCACAAAGGGTCAGAAATGACTGAAAACAACCAAACAACCTCTTGCTCCAAATCCAATGTGTTTTCCTCTATATATTATTGCCTTTCCAGAATTGCAAAGGAGTGACCTAAAACAGTCAGGGAGCTCTTCAAGACTCAGCTTAAATCTGACTTTTTGCAGGAAGCCTTTATTGGATTGCCCCCTCCCCCAAACCCCCTCCATCTGCTAGTGTCTTACCGCTGAAGTTACCTGGCATTCCTTCCTTATGTATCTAGTGTACTTCTACTTATTTACGCTTTGCCTCCCCCAACAGAACGTGAGCTTTTGAGGCCTGCACTAAAAGGGCTCCAACCTACCTTTCCAGCCTGATTTCTCACTTCTCTTACACATCAGTCAAACTGAGAGACCAGCTGTTCCCTGAACTCAGCATTCTATCTTCATCCTCTGTGTATTTACATAAGTCATTCCCCATGCCAGGAAAGTGCTCCCTCATCACGTCCACCTTTCCATGTCCTTTCAGGCCTAGCCTTCCTCCTTGAACCTGCCCTGATCCCTCCCAGTCATCAGTGTTCTTTCTCTCCTCAAATAACCTTGAATTTCTTAAATATCTCAGTACACATAATTATTCCCACTGGGGTTCGGGAGCTGCTGGAGGGATGTTTTTTTTCTTCTTTGTAAACCCAGCCCTTGGCACAGCGCCCTGCATCTATTGGGTATTTCATATAAATGTTTGTTGAATTAAAACCAGTTGAGGAGTGTGGGTTCCAGACCCCAGCAACAGGGGATCCCAGTGTTTCTGCAAGGCTTCCTAGGTGCTCTGCCTAGCACCTTAGCTGAACTCCCCCATGGCTTTGGGGAATGTGTGTGTGTGTGTGTGTGTGTATGTGTGCACACACATACGTGTACTCTTTCATTTATATGAAACTGCCTCCCTAGGGTGACTGGGTGAGACTCTTGGGCTCATTCTTCTTCCAATGGCTCCAGTTGATTCTGGGCAGGGAAGTTCAGGAGCTAACACTTTCCCATCCCACCTGGAGATCTCTGGCACTAAGACAATGGCTAACCATTTCCTGATTAACTGAACTTAGGCTTTAGTTGTAAAAAGATGGTAATGCCTGCGTTCATTTCCATCAGATGATTCCTAGGAATCCCTCTGAAATGCCTAGATGCAGTACATTACATAAATGGGGGAAAAGACAGGCATAAATGTGTGTGATCATACCTGGGGACAGAGTAGGACACCCATCAGCGCAGTGTTACTTTAAATAGGAACTCAAGGTCTTTCTACAGATCAGTGACTCTGAGTGTGTGTATTCTCTCTCCCAATAAACTGTAAACTCCTTGAAGGCACAGGTGCAGCTGTTTCATTTTTGTTGTTTTATCTCAGGTTCCTAACACAGTACCTGGCACATGGTAAGCATTTAATAAATGCTTGGTGACTGAACAAGTCTACTCACTTAGATCATTTGGGCCACATCTGCAACCACTACTGACCAAAAGCCATAGGATTGCCGTCTGCCTTGGGGAGTCAAGCATGATAATCCTAATACAGAAAACAGGGTTCCTGAAGAGCTGAAGGCTAAACGTGGCAGAATCAGATGCATGTGTATGCAAGCGTACGTGCAGACACACACACATATACAGACCAAGTATTACTGCTCCAACCTGAATATGCTAGATTAAAAAAAAATGTCTATCTAGTACCTTACAACCCTGAGACAGGAAGGGAAGAAAGAAAAATAAAGTGGAGAGAGGTAAGAGGAGAGAAAACAGGAGATACAAGGAAGGAGGGGAAAGCAGAGAGACAAGTTGGGGGATAAGAAGGAGGAGAGACCAAGGAAGGGGAGGAGGAGAGATGGGAGAGAATGAACCCAAAGGTAAAGACCAGAACAATCCAGTTTCCTTAACACATGATGGTTTTGCAGCCTGCAGTGCTGGGGCCCTCTTTCATGGTTTTCAAATAAAATACAACACTTTTAGATTTTGACAGTAACTAAAGAAAGAGCAAGAGACAGTCAGGGAGAGGCTGATTAGTAGGCTCTCAGGGGCACCGTAGGAACTGCAGAGACAGGCTGCAGAATATTAATTGCTGTTGATAACAGTAAGTAATCAATCTTGTGAGCAATGAGACCTCCAGCCTTGCTATGGGAGAAGTACTGCAGGATGGCTGAGCTGAATGTCTCTCTTCTATTCCCACCTCAAAGCTGGGGATGGGGAACAGCCCTTCAATTGAACCTGGGTTTATACCTTTATCCCCACCCCCTGGGAATTGTTGCTGTCCAGTTATTTTTAGTCATATCTGACTCTCTGTGACCCAATCTGGGGTTTTCTTGGCAAAGACACGAGAATGGTCTACCATTTCCTTGTCCGGATCTTTTTTTAGATGAGGAAACTGAGGCAAACAGAGTTAAGTGATTTGCCCAGGGTCACACAACTAGGAAGTGTCTGAGAACAGGTTTAAACTCAGGAAGATGAGTCTTCTTGACTCCAGGACTGGCATTCTATCTACTAGGCCACCTAGTTGCCCCCAAAATGGAAGTTTTGATTGCTGTTTAGTTGTGTCTAACTCTTTGTGATGTCATTTGGGGTTTTGCCATTTCCTTCTCCAGATCTTTTTCTAGGTGAGGAAACTGAGGCAAACAGGGTTAAGTGACTTGCCCAGGATCACACGGCTAGTAAGCGTCTGAGGACAGGTTTAAACTCAGGTCTTCCCGACTTCACACCTGGTGCTATGTCTACTGAGCCTAGCTTCCCTGAAGCCTGGGTAACCAAGGCCTAAAGGGGTGAGTTTTGTTGATCCTAAGGAAGGTATAGGCTCATAGGTCTATGGCGGAAAGGGACCTTGGAGGCTGACCAGTCCAACCCTCTAATTTTACAGATGAGGAAACTAAGGTGCACGGAGGTCAAATGACTGATCTGAGATCACAGAGAAAGCAAGCATCAAAGGTGGAATCTGAACCCAGATCCCGTGACTCTAAACAGTGTTCTTTCTGCCGTATGAAGTGTCTTCCTTAGGGTAACTGGGTGAGACACTGGGGCTCATTCCTCTTCCAGTGGCTTCCAACTGGCTCTGGGTAGGGAGGGTTAGGAGCTACCACTTTCCCACCCCACCTAGAGCCCTGAGCTAGGACTGAGAGCCCCACCGAGATACTTACAGTATGTAGGTGATGACCCCTATGCTCCTGCAAGACAAAAAGCAACGTGAATCAGTGTCTTCCTAAGTTGGAATCCCAGTCCTTATAAGGGACTCTTCCATAGGGTCCTCAGAAGACCACTGGACATCCCCCTTGTGGTTCCCGGGTCTCTGCATCTCCCAGCCATCTTTAAGGAAATGAGTCACCTTTGGGGAATGGTGAATAAATTACTCTGAGCCAGGTACAGGTACGTGAACTCTGCACCCTATTCCAGGTCATTTATCTGAAGTCCAAAGAGACAAATTTTATGTTTCCTCTCCCTCTTAACTTCTACCAGAGCAGCTGTTCTAAACAGGACTTACTTCTCAGAGCTGTTCACAGTATATACAGAGGGAACATGGGAGGGAGAGTGCCCTAAGACATGGGTACTTAGAGAACTGTATTGGTGACATAGATAACCACTCCCCAGAAAGGTCGAGGGGATCATACGTCTTGGGAGGACACTCCTGAGCTAAGAAGGCTGGGAAAAAAGGAAGACTGACCAGACCCTGACCTGGAAGAGATCTCATTGGAAAACTTACCACATATCAGCCTCCAGCCCAAGGGGTTCGTAATTCACAATTTCTGGAGCTGAAAGAAGCCAGTGTTAAAGAATCAATAAAGTATGACGTGACATTGAGGTGCATATCAGAGACATATTGGTGGCCCTCTCCTCTCTCTTTAGGAGGAAAAACAGGCCAGTTGCTGAAAACCTCCGTATTTCATAATATTTAAATGATAGTTACATTAATATAGTGCTTTAATGTTTGCAAAGTACTTTACATATGAGATTTCATTTGATCCTCACAAAAATCCTATGAAATAGGTGCTACTGTTTATCCCCATTTTACAGATGAGGAAACTGACTAGGAGAGGTCTCAATGACCTGCCCAGAGTCACATGCTAGTTAAGAATGTAAGACCAAATCTGAACTCAGGTCTTCCTGACTCCAAGTCCTTCTCAAAGTCACCTAGTTCAACCTTCTCATTTTACAAGTGAAGAAACTAAACTAGAATCTATAGAGGTTAAGTGACTTGCCAAGGATCATGAAGGTAGTAACTAAAGAACCATAATTCAAACTCGGGTCCTCTGCCTCCAAATCCTGTCTTCTTTCTATTATACTAAGGGGGAGTCTTGAGGGTTGGAGGAGTTTAGTGAGGACAGGGTACTTGAAACAACTTGAAATTCCTATGCATCTTTTAAGAGCCCACCTCAAATAGTACTAACTCAGTTTGAAGACATTGATAAAACAGAGATTGTCCTGGGGAGAGCAACCACGATGGAGAAAGGCCTTGGGTCCTGGCCACATGAAAACTGGATGAAGAAACTGGGGATGATTAGCCCGAGAATGAGAAGACTTAGCGCCCACTAAGTGACGGCTGCCTTCAAGGATGTGAAAAACTGCCATGTGTAATAGGGACAAAACTTGTTAGGGTTGGCCTCAAAAGTAAGACAAGGAGAAATGGGGGGCTGTTGAAAGAAGCAAATTTTAAAACACACTCCCCTCCCCACCACCAATTTCTTAACAATTAGAGCTATTCCATAGCAGAATGGGCTGCCTTGGGTAATGGGTGAGGTAGTGGGCTCCCCCTCACTGGAAGTTTTAGACAGAGGATGGATAACCACTGGTCAGGTATCAATTAATCAAAATACATTTATTAAGCACATTCTTTTTGGGTATAGGCCAGATTAGATGGTATCTAAGGTTTCTTTCAACTCTGCAGTTCTGTGATTGCTACTCAGTTGGTCATCAATAACTATCCTTTGGGGCCCAGTTCAGGTTCCACCTCCTCTAGGAAGTCCTTCCTGACTACTCTAGCTTGGATCATGAAATCTTTATGCACCACTTTATATTGTTCCCTATTGTTATGTGTATCTTGTCTTTCCAATTTGCTGATAAACTAGAGAGAAGAGACTTCCATCACTAGACTGGCCATAGTGTGATTTTTTTTTTTCCATAGCAACTTTCAAAGCACATCTACTAAGTTATGCAGAAGGTGAGATTGACTTAGGGAAGAAAGTCATAATAATGAAACTGAGAGGTGGTATGGGTTTGAATCCCAGCTTTGTGACCCTGAGCATGTTATTTAAACTCCCTAAGACTCAGTTTCATCATCTGCAAAATAGGAATAATAACAGCTCCTGCTTCACAGAATTGTTGTGAGGATCAAAGAAAATAATATATCAAGGGCTTTACAAACCTTAACATGCCATGCAAATAAGCTATTATTATTATTATTATTATCATTATTATTACTAAGTTATAGATCCTTGACAGATTGCAATAAAGTCAGGGACATGTTAGTGAGATTTCAGACAACAAGGTCTTCATAGCTCATCTGATTCAATCCTTATCCTAATCATGAATCTGACCTACAACATACCTGATAAGTGGTCACCAGCCTCTGCTTAAACACCTACAGTGATGGACAACATGAACTCCCTGTCCCTGGTACATTCTATTTCATTTCTGGTCAGTTTTAATTGTTAGGAAGTGTTTCCTTCTACTCGTCTGAAAGGTGTATTCTCCATAGATCCTGGCACAAGCTGAGCTGTTACTTAATAGATACTTGTCAGCTGATTGGCTTATCAAAGGATGGAGCCTGTGGTGGAGAGGAACAGGAAGGGAGAGGAAAGGGGATGGGGGGGAGATGGGGAAAGAGAAGGTTACCCTGTCAGAGGGAGGGCTTCCTTTTTGCAAAGAATTCCGGGGGGCGTCATTACTTCCATTCACACCTCTGGATCAAAGGGCTTTCCTTCCCATTGTGGTCCCAGGTCAAGAGTCAAGAATAAATTCCCACATGAAAGCTGCCTTGCATCCAACACTTTTCTTCTTTTAGCTGCTTCAATCAGGGCATGGGCTAGAATGCTGAGCTGCCACTAGAGAAGTGACTAGATTTAACTCTTTAACTAGCTGTGCAGCTTTGGGCAATTGTATAAATCTCTCTGGGTCTCATTTCTAAAATAAGGGTGTTAGACCAGACTAGATCAGGGGTTCTTAACTTGGGGGGTCCATGAACTCGAATGGGGAAAAAATGATGTTTTTATTCATAATCCTATAAATTTCATTTCATGCATTTAAGAACAGTATTCTAAGAAATAGATGGTAGCTAGGTGGTGCAGTGGATGAATGCTGAAGCTGGAATAAAGACCTGAGTTCAGATCTGGCCACAGACACTAGCTGTGTGATCCTGGGCAAGTCACTTGATCTTATTTGCCTCAGTTTTGTCATTTGTAAAATGGGCTGGAGAAGGAAATGGCAAACCACTACAGTATTTTTGCCAAGAAAACCCCAAATGAGGTCACAAAGCATAGGACATGACTAAATAACAAGAATTCTAAGAAGGGGTCCATAGGTTCCACTGGACCGACCATCCAAGGGGAACATGACAAAAGAGAGGTTAAGAATTCCTGGCCTAGATAACGTCAACTTGGAATATACTCCTTCTACCTCTGACTCTTAAAATCTTTTTCTTTTTTAGAGGCACAGTTCAGATGCCACCTTTTCTGTGAAGGTGGAACATCAATTCATTTAAAAATGATCTCTCCCACTTCATATTCATTTTTTAATATTACATTGACATCTTTTGTTTTTACATTGTAAAAACAAAAATTAGGTCAGGGTATACATGGAAATTTTTATTTCCATGTATACCCTGACCTAGTGAGCCATCTCTTCATAACAAAGAATTAAAAAAGAAAAAAAAAAGCAGTTCTGCAAAACCAGTCAACATATCAATTTATGCAATATTCCACCCTACAGTTCCCCCACCTCTACAAAGAACACAGGAGGGTGCATTTTCTCAATTCTTCCCAGGACCAAAATTTCTGTCATTATAATTTCACAGAATTTAGCTTTGTGTTTTTATTCTTTCCATTTAAATATAATTTTAAAGCATTTTGTCTGAATCTTTGCTTTTATCTTCTATCTTATATTGTCTTTCTTGTGTATATGTGTTATCCTCTTCGTTATATTATAAATGCCTTGAGGAATTCAGGGAAACATTGAAAGACTTGTCTGAACTGATACAGAACAAAGATCAGAACAGATCAGATCAGAACAGTCTACACAAAGGTTAAAATAACAAATGAAAACGACACTAACATATCACATATCAGATTATATTTTGTGCAATATTGTAATATATTATTGGTTTTAGAAGCCTGATGGTGAAATATGGCTCTTTTCTCTCAATATGAGAGGTACAGACTACGGGTGCAGAATACTATACATGCTGTCATATGTGGTAGGTGAGTTGGTTGGTTTTGTTTAACTGGGTTTTTTTTTAACATAAGGGAGGTTTTTGAGAATGAGAGAAAGAGAGAAGAGAGATGGAGAAAGAGAGAGAGAGAGAGAGAGATGGAGAGGGAGAGAGGGGGGAGGGGGGAGAGGGGTGGAGAGAGAGAGGAGAGAGGAACAAAGAGGTAGAAAGAGAGGGGGAGAGGGAGAGAGAGAGAGAGAGAGAGAGAGAGAGAGAGAGAGAGAGAGTGTTACTGGAAAATGACCTTAATGTAAAAAACAAGAACAAAAAAATCTGTTTGAAAAACTACAAAAGAAAGTTCCTCTCATGAGGACAGGAACTGTGTTATTTTGCATCTTTGCATTCCCAACATCAAGCACAGTGTCTGGCATATAATATGTGCTCACTAATCAATTAATTCAATAAATGTTAACAAATTTAATTGAGATAGATAAGAGTTCTGAAAAGCTACATTATTTATCAATAGTATACAATAGTATATATACATTTATCAGTACTATACAAATAGCAGCTTCTACAATCTGGCCTCAGTAATAATAGCTAGCATTTATATAGCAATTTAAGTTTGCAACGTGCTTTACAAATATCTTACTTGATCGTCACAACAACTCAGGGAGGTAGGAGTTATTATTATCCCAATGAGGAAATGTTGAGAGAGGTCAAGTAACTTGTTGAAGATCTCACAACTAGTAAGTGTCTGAGGCCACATTTATTATTATCATCATCATCTAACATTTATGTAGCACTTATAGTACTTTATAATTATTATCTCATTTGATCCTCACAACAACCCTGGCAGACCTGGATGCTGTTTTTATCCCCATTTTGCAGATGAGAAAACTGAGGCACAGAGGTTAAATGACTTGTCAAGGATCACACAGCTAGTGTCTAGGCAGGATTTTAACTCGGGTCTTCCTGACTCCAGGTTCAGTGTTCTATCCACAAGGCCACTTAGGTTATCTCATCCTATCCCCTACTATTTCCCTCTGTGAATCCTCAGCCCTAGACCGTCAGACTAGTCTAATTGCTGTACCCCTTAAATTCCTACTTCCACATTTTTATACATAATTTCTCCTCTTTGGATTGCCTCCTACACTCATCCCCATTTCTCCTTCCTATGATAGGTGGAAGGGATCCCCTCCTTCCTTCCAACTCCTAACAGTCATTGTCTATACTGTGAGGGGGGGGGAAATATCAAGCCCTTGGCCACAGCGTGTGCGCGTGCGCGCGCGCGCACACACACACACACACACACACACACACACACACACACACACACACTCTGCCTTGGGTTGCTAGCTGTTGGTAGCTATCTTTGCACATGTATACAAGTCTAGCCTGAACATCTACCTCTCTCAACATCTCTCTCAATAAGAGTCTCGGGCTTGGGATTCTATTTAATCCTTTCATTGTTATTTAATTGCTCACATAATTATGCCTTGTCTTTCTAATTTGATTATAAACTTCTCAAGGGCAGAAACTGGCCCCTATACAACTCAACCAATGCAACAAACATTTGTCAAACAGTTCTCTTCCCAATGAGTGGAAAGAACAGGATGAACTCGAGAGGAGATAGAAAAAAGACCTCCTTTCTGTTCTGTGAACCAGACAAATCTTGGTTTTCTCTGTTCCTCCCAAGTGACTCACCATCTCCCTTTGCATGGGCTGGCTCTCACACTGACTTCCAATGTCTCCCTCCTTACCTCTGCCTCACAGAATTAGCCTCTTCCTTCAATGGGCAGCTCAAGCATCATCTTGTACATGAAGCCTTCCTTGGTACCCTCAACTTCCTTAGTACCCTACCTCTCAAACTAAATTACCCTGAATTGAACTACTTTGCATTTGTTCTGTATAGATTTATATAGATGCTCATTGTCTTCCCTTGTTATTACAAGCATCTTATAAATAGGATGCAGCTTGGTGGTTGAGTGGCTATGGGTCCTGGAGACAGGAAGACCTGAGTTCAAGTCCAACCTCAGGCAATTACTAGCTTAGGTGAGAGGCCCCGGGCAAGTCACTTAACCTCCATTTGCCTTAATCCCACCGGAGAAAGCAAATGGCAAACCATTCTAGTTTCTTTGCCAAGAAAATTCCACAGACAATATTGCTATGATATGGCCCACAGACTCATCAAGAGTCAAACATGATTGAACAACACCACCTTATAAGCAGAGGCCATTTCATTCTTTGTACTTGTATCCCCAGTGACTAACAAAGCGCCTGGAATATAGTAGGTGCTCAGCTAAATTACCTATTGGCTAATGCCTCATTGCCAGATCCAGAAGCTATCCCACATGTGGGGCACCTGAGCAGTCTCTGAGCTCCACCCCCCCAAGTGCTGACCCTCTTATCAATTAATTAATTAATCAATTAATCAACAAGCATTTGTTAAGCACCTATGGGATACAAAGACATATTGTCTCCCTTTGAGACCCCTTTGTATGTTTCACAGAACCTAGCACTATGCTTTGTTCATAGCAGGTGTACAATATTAGCTCTTTGTACTGACCAGGGGGTAAAAAAATCAACCTTGCCATCCACCTCAGTGGACTGTCTGGAACATTCTGTCCTCTCTCACTGTAAGTCTATGGTCAGTTCTCCCTCCTCCCTTTTATTCCAGATCAAGGTTTCGGAGGAGGGTAAATCTAACACCCCAAAGAGAAAGTAAACGACCCTCAACTTGTGTGTTTTGTCCTGTACAGTGTAAGCTTCTTGTGAATCCCCCTTTCTCACTGACCTTCCTTTTCATCTCTCTACCTTAATAGCACTGATCTTGCAGTCAGAAGACCTGGGTTCGAGTGGGCTTACTATTCATGTGAACGTGGACAAATCACTTTCATCCCCCGAGACTCCCTATCTTTAAAAACAAGAATAATGATACGTGTGCTACTTATCCACATGGCCATTGTGAGTCTCACATGAGAAAATCTATTGAAAAGCACATTGTAACTTCAAAGTTTCTGCCCTGTATCTGGAGCTGAGGGAGATCCCGGAGGTGGCTTTGGATGCAGATGGCTTGTTCTCCAGGGGAGAGGGATAAGGCGTGTACCATAAAGAAGAAGGCTATGGAGCCCTCCCACCAGCTCAGTTCTCCCTTTGCCTGAATAAAGGAATGGGAATAAAGAAATGGGAAGTAAGTAGGTGAGTGGGTGGATCTGGCATCTGGTAGATGGTTGGCTTTTTTTTTTTCTTTTAGAAGATCAAAAGCTATTCCAGAAGGCTGAGTTTACTGGAATTCAGGAGGGTGAGGCTACTTTAAGTCTGGAAAATAAGCCCCAGTGAGAATAAGGGCTGGGGGGAAGGAGGAAGAGAGAAACTTCTCTTCAGAAAAGCTAGGGAGAGTTGAAGTCAGTGGTGGTGGAAGCATCATGGGAAAGGGAGGAAATCTCACCCTACTTCTGTGTTCTCCCCTTTCAGCTCTTGTTCCCTAAAGCAACAAAGTTTAGTTCTCCAAGCAGAAATCTAGAAAGGCCTTTATTTTTTTCCCCAAACCTACCCCAACCAACTCCAGGCCTAAGGGGACATCGTGCCCTAAGGGGACATCATCCGTGAGCATCCCACCTGGGAGGTGCACAATGGAGTAGGGAAAGGATGCTTTTGAGAGGTCATAACCTTAGCTCAAGAGTAGAGCTTTTTTTCCTGCCTGACTCTTATCCTCTGTCAGGCCACAGAAACTACACTTACCTACAAATTCTGGGGTCCCAAAAATGTTCTTAAACTCTACTCCATCTTCAATTTCATGAGCCAGGCCAAAGTCGATCAACTTGATGTGTGGAATGGGAATATTCTTATCCAGCAGCATAATGTTCTCTGGCTACAGAACAAAAGGGGGGAAAAAGATGGTAATTAAAGCTCTGGTTTGTGTTTTTAGTTAAGGATTTGGAGCAGGGTTTTGTGTTCTTTTTTAAGCTACTGAAACAGAAAAAAAAAATCCTAGCTTGTTTTTGTATCCTTAAACATCTTCTGTGAACTCAAAACAGGCCTAATAGAGTATAAATATTCCAAGCCCTGGTCTCTACCCGACTGCTGAGGATAACAAGAGACTGGGCAGACTGGGGGTCTCTAGGCCTCATTTTGCCTCTAAGTGGCTATCAGGTCAGGGAGCTGTAGAGTATAACGGAATCAAAGCTAGACATGGAGGCCATGTGACTCAATCAGACAAGTATCTATTAAGAGCTTGCTATGTTTAAAGCCGGGGGTAGCTAGGTGGCACAGTAGATAGAGAGCACCAGACCTGGAGTCAGGAGAACTTGAGTTCAAATCCAACCTCAGACACTTACTAAGCTGTGCAACTCTGGGCAAGTCATCTAACCCCTATTTGTCTCAGTTCCTCATCTATAAAATGGGGACACACTAGAGAAGAAAGTGGCAAACCACTCCAATATCTTTGTCAAGAAAACCCCATGGACAAAGGGTCATGTAGAGTTGGACACAACCGGACAACAACAACAAATGTTGAAGGCCAAGAAGAAGCATGACATAATCGAAAAAGGACCAGCCTTGGTGTCAGGAAGAACACCACTTTGGTAGGTAGGGCATTGGACTTGGAGTCAGGAAGGCATGGGTTCAAATCCTTTGTTAGATATTTACTAGTTGGATGATTCTGGGCAGTCACCAAACCTCTGTGAGCGTCAGTTCATATATAATAACAGTTAGCATTTTTATAGTGTCTTAAACAAAGCACTTTACAAATATTATCTCATTTGATCCTCACAACAACTGTGGGAGGTTGGTGCTATTCTTATCCCCATTTTTCAGATGAGGAAATTGAGGCAGGCAGAGGTGACGTGATTTGCCCATAGTCCCCAGTCACAGGTATTTGAGCTCAGGTCCACCTGAGTCTTGGCCTCCAAATGAGGAGACTGAATTCAAAGACCCCTTTCCCCAAAATTTAGCTCCTATGTATATGTTAATGTATGTATGGTTTGCCTCCCCTGATTGAATTCATATTCTCTGAAGGCAAAGAGTTTTCCATTTTCATCCTTCTGTCTCCGGAGCCTAGCACAGTGCCTGGGACATGGCAGGCACTTACTAAGGGTCCGTCACTTGCTTCCAACTCTAAATCTATGATTCTATGATCCTGTGTTCAAATCCTGCGTCTAGTAAACAGTCAAGTCACTTAGTCACTCAGCCCTGCTCAGTAGGAAGAGCACTGGGTCTGGAGGCAAAGGTCCTGAGGTTTCCTGTGTGGACCACTGACATTCTGTCTTCCTGCCACTGGGCTTCAGTGGTGTTTCACACTTAGACACAAGAGAGTCTCAACACCTCATTGTCCTCCTTGACAGATGGTAAGACTGAGAAGAAGAAAAAACAAAAAAGCAAGCCAATAAGGATGCAGAGACAGGCCCTGGGCTGGAGTCCCAACTCTCCCTCGTACTAGCCATGGGATTGACAAGTCGGTTACTCGTTCTAACCCTCAGTTTCTTCATCTCTAAAATGGGATGACAGGACTTACACAATTCACTTCATGCAGTTAGGAGGAAAGTGCTTCGTGAACACACAACTAATGTTATTTCTGCTCAATTTTACAGACGGAGTCAAACGGGGACCAAGAAATTCTTCGAACATTTCCTGTTTGTCTTAAAGGCGGTCCCTTATGGCTAAGAGATCTCAACAAAGCTAATGTAGAACGGTTTCCTCCACTAATCCGGGTCTGGCCCTTCCTGGCTACCTCTTTCTCCATCCTCGGGGCTTCCTGTTGACAGCTCTCCCCTCCCCCCACCTACTGCCACCCCTACGTTTTGTGTTTGTTTAACTAATTCTAGCTCCCAGCAGGACACAGGAAAGAGTACACCTGATTTCCAGGGAAAATAGCAGCTGCTGGGGCTCTTTCCAGTCCTGTAAACAGCTCCACACCAACTGGGACCCTTGCTTGGGAGCCCTGTGTCCATAGCTGTCTGGGTGCTTCCCAAAATCCAAGGCCACAAACTCTAGCTTCTCCCTCCCCTGAAGCCCCCAGCCCCTTTTTCTGCCCTCACGCCCTTCTCTCCTACGAAATCAGACAGGAAGCTTCCAGTCTCCCTAGATTCCCTCTGACCCCCAGTAGCTGCTGGAAACTTTCACTTTAGGAAGGAGACGATATCTCAACTTCTCTTACTTAAAAAACAAATAACATGTTTCCCTTTTGGAATTTTTAAAACTTGTTTATCCTTTCTCTATTTGGGAGCCTCCTCCTAAATAGATTTTCAAAATACACAGAAGTATTTTTCCAGGGCAACTGCTGATCTTTGCCTGGGCTAAACGACCAAAGATTTGGTATCTTTTTGCAGGAAGGAGGTGGTGGAGAGAGAGGGAAGGGGCAGTAAAGCCAAACCAGACTGCTCCGGCCTCAACTTTGTGCAACATTTCACTTGAACCCGAGTGAGATGCCGTCTGTGGGATACAAAAAAACCCAGGTCTGTGTGCTCCGAGGAGTGGTGCCTGGCTTGGGTTTAGGGGGCTGTGTGTGTACGTTTAAATATACAAATACATTAGATATGTATATATGAGGTGTATATGAAGAGTGTGTTATATACATACACATAAGTATCTATAATATACATAAGAGATGTGTGTGGGTCTGTGTGTGCATATGTGGGTGTGGGTATGTATAACGGGATATTCTGAAGATACACAAATATGAGTTACATGTATATATGTACATATACATACAGAAAGTCCTAAAAGTCTTAGTGCACTTTAAAGTGAATGAAGTTTAAAAATTCATGAAAAATTTAGGGACATGCTGTATAGACCTGGCCAAGAATGTGTCTTTCACCACCACAAATACAAAAACCAGGGATTTCTAGGGAAAGCAGAGTCAAACCAGGTTGTTGCCTTTAAGAAGGGTTACGGCTTCCTGTTGTTAAGTTTTTAAAAGAAATTATTTTATTTTTTCAATGAACAAAAATCTGTTTTCTCTCCACTACCTCACCTTCTCTCCTCCAACACCCTCCAAAATGAAGAAGGGTTACTGTTAAGGGTCTCTGTTTTTCCCTCTCTAAGGCCTCAGATCATAGTCTCAGAGTGTTTAGGGTATAGACGTACTAGAAGTTTCAGTACCAATACTACTTCTCACCAGCTCTGCCAACCTGGCCAAGTCATCTTAGCTTAAGTTTGTCCTCTGTAAAATGGCAATAATAATGATGATGATGGCACTATCTTCCTCATAGAATTGCTGTGAGGAGAGTGCTATGAATGAATGAATGAAAAAGCATTTAAGTACTGACCATGTGCCAATCCCTGTGCTAAGCATTGGTGATACAAGAAAACAACACAAATGACAGGGTTTTGTTGTAGGGTGAATAGAAAGGTCTGCAAGTCCTAAGGGTGCAGTGAAAGGGCAAACAGTAAGGCCTGGAGTCCTTAGATTGCATCAGCAGAGAAGATGGCAGTGCCTGGAGGTCTGGTGGGTATAGCAGCAGGGCAGACAGTAAGGCCATGGCAGGGAAGATGGTGAGGCTTCGTGGTTCTCCGTCTCACTGACGGGGTCTGAGCTTCATTAATAAAACAGAATAAGATAAAATAAGGGCTAAAGCAATCTGATACTCTCTAACCTTTCATAAGTGAGGCGTCCGGTTACTGACCTAAGAAAAGGGGAAGTGGGCCTGAAGGTCTGAATGGTGCAGGAATTCTGGGTTTCCTTTTGCAGGGGTGAGAATTTGAGGGGGAGAATTTGGGGAGCCAGAGTTCAGCCAGGAGGTGGGAAGAAGGGAATAATGGGAAGACAAGAAGAGAATGACAACCTACAACAGTTGCTCCAATGGGCCATTTTGGATTGGCCTAGGGCGTAATCTATCAGAAGTATTGCAAAGGCATGTGGCGTGGTAGACAGAACACTGACCCTAAAGTCAGGACACCTGGGGTCTGAATTCCTCCTTGGAAACTTCTTAGCTGTGTGACCCTCGGTGAGTTTGAATCCCACCTCAGACTCTCATTGTACCACAGGGGACTGACCTCAACTTAATATTGTCCATAAACTGAGATCTCAGGGGCCATTCAAGAGCAGTGATCTCCACCACCACCAGGAACACCCTAGCCAAATGCCTTAAGAAGAAAAAAAATTCCTATGTTCCCTGGAACATCAGAGGGAAAACGAGGCCTTAGAGAGGGAGAGAGAGCAAAGTGGACCTGTAACAATAATTTCTCTCTTGTGGCAATAGGTTTTTCATGATTGAACATGCATAGCCTTTATTAAATTGCTTACTCTCTCTGGGAGGGGAGAGGTGAGGGAAGGAGAGAGAGAACTTGGAACTCAAAATTTTTTTTAAATGAATGTTTAAAAATTGTCTTTACATGTAACTGGGGAAAAAGAAAAGAAAATATTATTTAAACAATAACTTCTCTCAGTGCCTGTGAAGCAATCTGCTTTGACTCAGCTTTCCGTGGGAATCCCTGCAGAAAGGAAGGGTCCACCTTCCTCAGCAGGCTGAGCAAATTCCCATGAGGCTGGGTCACCAGGCAGAACTTCCAGGGGCTCAGGCCACTACTTCTTCATTCGTCCCCTCCCAGGAGACACAGCAAACGTACAGCTTAACCCACAGGCTTCTGGCCCTATGCCTGACTGTCCTTTTCAGTGACCAGACACTATTCCTAGACTATCACTCCTTTCACCAAGGATTTTCCCTCAGCACACTGATTTTATTTATTTCAGCAAATTAACTCCCTAACATAACCAACCTCTCCAAAAAAATGTTTCTGCCCTCCCCTCCCCTTCTGACAGAACCCTTGCAAGGTGAGAGCTCACATTACAGAGGTTCTCTCTGCCTTCAGCAACCAGTCCTTTGGGCCCCAAGGAGTTGTCAGGAATAGGCAGGGCTACACCCTGCCTGTCAT